ATAAATGTGACTTTGTATGAACAGTGCTCTTCCTATGTGTGTTTGACTGTAATTTCTTCTTGCCCAAGTATCCAGTATGTGCTGGAAGCCTTGTACTCAAATAATACATGGTTAACCCTAGCCGTACTTAATACTACAAATTACTACTTGTAGTAAAATGTAGTGATCAGTGCTGCCGCTTGACTGCATTGTTCTCTGAAGCCATAAAATACAATAGATAAGACAATGTACCATACAGTGCTGTGGCACTATGAATGCATGGCTTTATTGTTCTCTGTACAAGTAACAATGGAAGTAACCTAGCCAGAAGTAGTAATTTGTAGCGCTAGGTCCTTCGGGCTCAGGCTACTACTTAGTATTTTGTAGTACTGAGTACTGTAAGCCAAACAATATTCTTGGCGGTTAGGGTTAAGAAAAAATTATCATCATAATGTGATTATCATGTTTCCTCCATTCATTTGTACATACGTGTTTTTTGGGGGGGTTAAATAAAAACCAAAACTTATCAAGTGTGTTTGATTTTGAGTTAGCAAGAATTTGCCTTTTAAGAAAAGAAAGTGCTCTTCATACATATGCACTGATTCATTTTTACTTTTGTAAACTTCCTTTAGATTACAATATTACCTTTCTTGTGTTGCTGTTGTTGATTTTGACTGTTGATTCATGGGCTCAATTCCCCTTTTGATTTTCTTCACAAACGAAACAGGTTTTTCCTTGAAGCACATTGTTTCACGGGCTACCCATCTCTCTGGATTTGAAAGTGTCATTTGGGTATTATCTCATTCCATGCCAAGTGACAAACTGAAATGATCACCTATTTACTCCACAATACAGGTACTTTTTTTCCGTCTTTTTACAGGTTGTATGGATAATAGTCTACTCAGCTTTGTTCTTCGACTGACAGCACCAGACATTCAACTCCCCTGGAGTTTTTATTGTAAGATATCATTTGCATTCAGGAAACCAAAAGACCAGGATGCACTGAGGGCAACAGAGTCTGTTCTTGCAGGTGTATGTTCATAAAATAGTTCACTGACCTCAGCACTGCACGTCACTACACATTTTATGTTGGGGGGGGGGTGCTCCCTCCAATGTTCTGTTACAAATTATGCAGCAGAATGAGCAGATCAATTTCTTGTCTGAAATTCAAGAATTTATCTCCTTTTTTTTCAGATTTAAAATCACATCTTCATACATAAGTCTATTTAATATGGTCTTGTTGCTGAAGTAGCAAAGACCTTTTTTGGTAACTTCTCTCGGCGAAGAAGTTTGGATTTTCTGAACTTAGGGAACACCTCAGAGAAGGTTCCACTTCTCTGATTAAAGTTAACCATATATGAGACTGAAAGAGTGGGAGAAAAGAGGGGGTTTGGGGAAGGAGGAACTCTGGGCTTGGCTTGGAGAAGTTGTAAGGGTAAGGGTTGCAGGGAAAAAAGAGGGAGAGCAAATCCTGTATGAGCTTCCCATGCCCACAGGCCCTGTTGTATTTTGATGTACATGCAATACATTATTTAAGATAGTGAAGTAGTGCTCTTACACAACAGCCAGGGGCCCGTTTTCTCGAGCTGTGAAGTGGTATTATTTGCTAAGCACTGAAAATGCACGCCTAGCAAAAAGATGATTACCATTCAAATTGTCACACAATTCCCATTTTTGGGAGACTGGCTCTCAGCCAATTCTGTATTGCTGAGCAAATAAATTTTGCTCAGCGGTATTTTCTGCTTTCCAGCTCTATGTAATTATGCCCAGGGCATAAATGAAGTTAGAAACATTTTCAATGCCTCCAATTGTTCTTTTGTTTTACACACTACCACTCACCTGTATGTTTATGGCACCTAGTTGTAAACATACCTCTGATTTTTTGTAGCTCAGAAAATCAAAATATTCGTTTTGCTTCAACTGCAAAAACTACTTTTAAGTTGTTTTTTGGTTATTGTTTATGGTTTCCTGTTTCTTTTTGCTACAGATAATCCTGAACCCCCAAATGCCTCTAAACCTGTTTTTCAGAGAGATGGAAACCATGTGTGGACCTGATATAGTTCACATAAGGCTCACACAGCCTGCATTATGTGGACGTGCTTTGTTCTCGGGTCCACATGAAGACAGTAAGGTTGACACAATCTTGGTTCAAGATCATTATCGAGTACAACCCAGCCTCCATTTCATACGGTGCTTCCATGTGATGGCCCATAAACTGCCAAATGTCATATTTTGGAGAATTGAGACTGCTTAGCGAAATTAGGTAGGGCATTTGAGATTCTGCTGTGATGGAAGTTAAGCCATGACTGAATCAACTGGCTGTAGCTTAGGTTAACACATAATGTCTATGAGAAATGGCTACAGCCACTAGCCACAGGTAAACTTTTATTTCCAGCCACAGCCATTTGATGGGAATTTTTGCAAATTTTTAAATTTTGGGGACAGGGTTTCCTTTCTGCTTATCACAAATTGGTAAATTTGGTTTGGAGTGTCTATTGAAATACTGCCAATTTTTTGTTTTTAAATATCTCATTTACAAGTACTGAATTTTCAACTCCATACCTTGACTGTTGTCTTCATTTTTGAGGGAACTGTTTATTTTTAATGTTTCAGTGTTAAAACTCAGGATCAGATTTTGTTAAACCAAAGTTTCTTGTTAAAAAGGTTTTGGGGGGGGAACCAGCATTTACTTTAATTTTTCCCACAGTCAAGAGAGATAAATATAAATAATGTCCTTATTTTCCAGATCATAAGCTGGAAAAAAAAATCACAGCTTGATTGTAAAATGTCCTTTACCATCGGCGGTGTTTGTCACACACGGATCATGATCAGTGACCGGTCATTGGCTTACAGATGCCCAAAAGCTTCATAATGGATGGTGCGAACCAGCTTTGGGATCACTGATTGAGATCCAGATCCATGTGAAACAAACAGGCCTAATTAAAGACTTACCATTGTCTTTTAGTTCTTGTACTGTCATGAAAATTACCAGTAATCCCATTTGTAAAATGAAATACGTTGTAAGTAGTTTGAATAAATTTTTAAAATTTCAAAACGGACTATTTTCAGTGTTGAATGACAGCGGGCTTTGGAGGGGCACAATGAGGAACGTATCCCCTCCCACCAGCAGATGTCCATGCCATTGTGATTTAAATTGTGAAATGAATTCAAGCCCACTAGCCACAGTTCACTCCCAAATGTCCCCTTGGAGAGCGAGTCCACGCCACGTAGCACCCCCGCCCCTTAAAAAATTCACCTGTTGTAGCGCTGGTCAGTGGCATGATGGCTTCCATTGTCAGTCCCCCCCCACAGTCTCCAAACTTGCTAACACATAGCACTCAAAACACCAACTGGAATGGAACCAGCTGAGGTGATTGCGAGCAGTAACAGATAAAGAGAGACCGACTTGACTTCTCAGCATATCAGAAACTTCTGATATCTGAATAATACAACAGTATCTCCGATCCCAGTGGCACTTCAAGGATAATTTCTTTATTGAAAATGTTATTGTTCTACAATACATATTTGTTAGAACACTTCTCACATAAATATTCTCTATAAATACAATCCACATTGGAAAAAGTTATTTCCAATGAAAATCAAGGCCATAGTGTCCGATTTCTACTTCAATGAATCTATACTGAAATAAACTAAAAACAATGTTGAATGTATGAAAATTATACAGAGCTGCAATGCATGAAAGGGAACAAACACAAAAACTGACTGAGGTAACCAGCTATCATGACAACCTTGTAGAATGTTACTCCTTCAGCTTTGGAGTAGCATCCAGTCCAAACCTACACACTGAATGTACATGTATACACCTTCAGCTGTGTATTACTAACTGCTAATTGTGCTGATTTGCATTTCGACACAAGATAAACTGATTGCATGACAAGACTTTCATCTATGATAAGGAGACGAGGCTGTTGGATTCTGTAAATTTGTCAGATAAGTCAAACTTTTTGCCATCTAGCTTTGCAAAAAAAAAATTCTGAATGTTTGCTCAAAACCACCCCTTGGGTTTTCAGCCCTAGAATTCAAATATGAGATTTTTTTCTCCAACACAAGTTCAATTCCTTTTCCCCCGACTCCACACAATGGATGAAAAATAGCTATTCTACAAATTGAATGTAAAATATTATAAACGACAAAAATGTATGACATCAGATTTGGTGTGCATACAGTGAGGCTTGTTTAGATCAGTTGAAAGACGACATACACTGTACTATCTTTGTTATATTTGCTATACAACAAAAACACACATTCACAATTTATAACTTAATAAAATTGGCATGAAAATATTCACAATTTCTTTTCTTTGAAAAGCAAACACATAAAACCAGCAATTTTGTTTTTATTGAATCACTCACAGTAAAATTCCCTGACAATCAAGGCTTGATTATCGAAGTCATCCTCCATGTCTGACTTAACCACACAGACTTATGACTTGACATTACAAAATATATGTAATATTTTACAAATAGTTATCACCACACTTAACCTTCACCCTCATCCCGCTCAATGTTATGGTGGGCAGTGTCCGTAGAATTGTAATTTTAGGTTATTTTAGCGAACTTTGAAATGCTCATTCATAAATAACTCAGTCTCCTTGTTCAACAACATGCAACTTGACCGTGTATTAACCCTCCTATGCAAAGATACATTCTTAGTATCATGTCAGTCAACATCAGTCAAATTTCTTATATGTGTTTGTGTACGGGGGCAAATTAAGTGGAAGGAATTTTTGACGGTTACAGCAGCAGGAGGGTGAACATTTGTTAATGCCTGCTGAGAAGTGATAATGCTCACTGCGTTAATCACACACATTGGTCAAGAGTCCGTGTGCACGCAGCTCGCTACTTGTGCGCCAATTGAATGATTTGCACAAGGAATATTCCATAAAATGGATGGGGGTGTTCAGAACAATGAAATAAAAATTTTAGAACCAAATTTCTGGAAATTCATCTTATATTGACTTCTTTTGACTCTCTGACTAAGTATTTATGTATGGCAGATTCGGGCATCGGTCAAGACCATTCGGAGCCAGTCTTAACACACATTTCGGACCGGCCAAGCACATATTTATTCCCTTAATAAACTCTTGAGTGTATGACTTTCAGCAGCAAAAGTCATTTGACTGGTTGCCAGTGATGCACTATTACCTGATTTTGTCACTAAAATACGTTGAAAATGTACAGAATGCTGGAAAATACCTCATCTGACACCTAAATATGTATGTATCTGAGTTGCCACAGAACTTGTTTAGATGCACTTTAATCTATGAAAATTTTCAAGGGCAAAGTAAGCAAATGAAGGCTGACAACTGGACCAACTGAAATACAGTGCAACTAATTGCAGTTAGCGACAGTATTTCTTGTGTGAGAGGACTTTTTTGGAAATACAAAGTCTTGAGTAGAAACTGTGTTTGTGCAATTGCAAATGAGGTAATTCCCGAGGCTTCCATGGGTTGTTTGTGCTGCACTGTGCATCAACATTGAATGCACGATCAGCTGCAGGATAAGATACACAAGATGTAAACTGAAGAGTTGATGGTTCTCCGAGGCAAACGCTTAGCATTATGCTGTACAGCTAACTGATCTGCTTAGAACTATCACATCTCCAGAGGCCCATCGGTAGCCAAGCGGCCATCAGTCAACTTCTTCGCCAACCTGGTTGATGATCTGGTTGAAAAGTTCCGATCTGTCGGCATAGACGTGATGTCCAGCTCCTTTTAGAAGCTAATCATAGTCAAAGAAAAAAAATTAATCTGTTAAAGTAAATAAAAATAGTTCAAGCATCTGACTTTAACAGTCCTAAAACTATCAGAACAATTCAACAGCAGGATCACAACAAAATTGAGAATTCGGGGAAAACTTCGACTTCTAGCAAAGGCATCTGAAGGATAAAAAAATTGTTCAGTTTAAACAATGTTAGCTTTAAAAAAACTGGCTTCTTGATGTCTCTGGAAGATCTCAAAATTACCTTTCCATTCAAATATCTCCATGCCATATAGATATGAATTACAGGACTGTCTGATGCAGTGGATAATATGTGCACAAGTCAAACAAAGAATTTGAAGTAAACAGAACTATTCGAGTTGCAGGCCTTTAACTAAGAACGCACAAGAAAAAGGGAAACTAGAAATGTTTCCTTGAACGTTACACCAAAAAGAGACATCTACAGCATATATTATTGTTTTTCCCGGCCACACAGTAAAAACACAGATCATCCGATGGTGGGTTCCAGCATTCATGAAATGGAACAAAGCATCGCAGCCATGAACAAGACCAAAGATCATAGCTGCTTTTGAAAACACACCACCAAAATGTCAGACTGTTGAGCAACCACTAAAATAGTTTCTGGTTAACCAATGCCAAAGCAACACGCTGACAGCTGTGACAATTTCAGATCAGAAGCCATTTTGTTCTTCCACATTATGTACATGATGGTCAAACTTCCTGGGTTTGTCACACACCTTTGCTCTCGAATGATCTCACTCTTTTGAAAGATCAAACTGGCTTACTGGCGCGACCCCACGCAGTAAAGCCCACCACTTTGGAAACAAAATGACATCACAAGCCAGGTCATATATGATTCCATGTCACAATTCTCTATGCATGGTTCTGACAACTGCATGAACGCATTCACAATCAACATCCGAAGAGAAACAAAAACTTACATGAAGCCTGACATAAGAGCCCGGCCGCCGGAACTTCAAGTCGTTGCCCGCATCACTATCCATCCAAGAGTGCTCGCCGTAGATCATGGTGATGGGTACTTGCCTGGACAGCTGATCTGCCCGCGGCACCATGGGATTGACTGCCCAGCCTATCATGTCGGCCATGGACTTGAAGGCCATCTCGCCACTACAAAACAAACAAAAAGATTTTTCTTCTTGGAAAAATTCTTTCTTCTGCTTCACTTCCTACTTTTATTTCCAGATGGCTTGCTCATGGCATTCAGAAAAAAAAGAGCCAAGCAAGGCACGCCAGAACAGTAGTGCAGCTGAGTATTCCAAACCAGTACTGTGAGGAAACCCACATCTGGTTACAACAGTACAGAACAAGAGAATGAAAAGAAGTATGTGTACTTGCTAGAGTCAAAGAAATACCTGGGATGTTGTGCATTGCAATGGTAGATGTAGTTGCTGATTCGGTCGTCTTCAAAAAGCGATTTGAATTTTTTGTTCAAATCGCCACGAACTCGTCTAATCAGCCGTGGGCCTGATGAGAATAAAATTGTAGTACATGTAAGACACATATGCACAGTAAATTGGATATCAAGTTTTATGGTCTGCAGCAAATGGGTACAACTGTTGTTAAGATGTATTTAAGCATTGAAAATACATGTAAGTGCTAGATTAACAGCACTCTAGGTTGCAATTGTGATTTTTCATTATGTGCTCACCCAGGGGACCAGCAGCTCGTATGCTGGAGAGTGGATTGAATCTCATGGCCACAGCTCCAATCGCCCGGACCCACAGTGGGAACTGAAGTTCTTCCGGTGGTGGCTTCTCGGGGAAGCCCCAGGGGTCCGCTAGCACCAGGTGCTTGACCCGGTCCGGGTGCCTGATGCTGTAGGAGTAGGTCAGGTACCCTCCAAAGCTGTGGCCGACCAGAATCATTTCCTGGATGCCGACTTGGCTCCGCCAGGCCTCGATGGACTCTACAAATGCCTCCTCAGCCTGCTCGGGTTCCCGTGGTATCACCGGCCGTGAGCTCCGGCCGAAGCCCAAGAGATCGAAGGCGTAGAGGGGGCGGTGTCGAGATAACTCCTCGAAGTTGAGAGCCCACAGAGCCACCCCGCTGCCAAAGCCATGAACAAGCACAATGGGTGTTTTGTCGGTAGCTCCTTGGTCACTGGGATGAAATTTAAGTGTCCGCACTGTGTCTTCATCATTGATGGACACGAACTTGCTCTCATATTTTGCTTTTATACCTGGAATTGAAATAAACAAGTACTTTTTAAATTTTTTTTCTAAACAAAATTCCAAAGATCAAATAACTTGCATACATGTAAATCCTCTAAAAAGATGAATGTGACATGTAATAACTTATGCAAGTGCTTGGTTAATATCACATCAACTTGTGTTGTCAAGTTAATGCTCAGCCACATGACAGGCTTCTTTTTCCCATAACTCCCAATCCTCTCGGTGTAAACGTTTCGTTCAAGTGTCTGGAGACAGATGAATTACTTGACAATTTCAACTTGAAATTTCATTTTTATTTGAAGAGAAGAACATCCATCATTTTAAAGATATTCAACATGATTCTCTGTGATTTTTGTGTAAAGCGAGCCAAAACATTTCAACATTTAAGGCCCACTGCGTCACTTGGACGGCTGTAACTTCACTGTTACTGCTTGGAAAAATTTAGTTCAACTGTCATAAGAGGGCGCCTGAAATCTTCTTTCTTGTCATACAAAACCTGATGCCATTGGTCTAAATTCTGCCCCGTCACCTTATCGAAATGTAAGAAATGCTTATTCTGATTCATCCTGGTTGCCTGAACATCGTTTATACAGTAGTTCGTGTGTACAAATGCACATGTACACTGAACAACGTACACTCACATGGCTGTACTCTCAGCCGGTCTCTAGACTGGACTTCACTGGGAAATATCCCGTAAGTTGCTTACTTTACATATCAAAGTATTGGAAAGTAAACAAACATTAAAGCTGATATATTGCAGTTTCAGCTCATCTAAATTTCAAAAGCTTTTTATCTTATATATGTTGAGAAATCATCATTTATAAAAGGTCGCAATGAACTGGCACACATGTAAGTGCTTGGCTCCGCTGCACTGCAGTGTCAAGTGGACCACTGCATTCGATATGTAGGGAGATACAACATGTATGATGTACGACCAAGGCACACACATAGCATACATTGCACTTTGCTGTATATGTGCCATGGCTGTACGGTGAAGTTAACTTAACCCTAACGGTCCCAAATCCTCCAATGTCGATATGAATTTACATGCACCCTAGGGGATTGGGGTTAGTACAACTTCCTGTGATAATACAAGATTGTAAAATCTCAAAAGGCACAAATCTGCATGCACGACATTTTTTTATATAGACTGTGCCCGTTATCCAGCCTGTCATTGAATCGTGTCATTGCTTTGTCATGCATTGCTCCAAGACGGTACATGTACGGATATATGGCTGTACTTTGTACATTTTAGTCTTTGCTTTATACATGGTCCATAATGTGATGGAGAGGCAAAAGTGGAAAGAAGTTGATTACAGAGCACTTCATAGTGGAACCAAGAATAATCAGAATTTTTTTTACGAGGTTTCAGGATTTTTTTAAACTTTGCTTGCACATACTGATTTCTTTTTTGTAACTATGCACTTCTTGTTTAGTAGAGACAACCAGGAAAAAAACTTCGTTGTGATGGCCAAACTCCACTCAACTGACACGTAGAGGTGAAGCATATTATCAAGCCCGATTCCCCTATAAACACACAACTGCTAATGATATTGATTTTAACTTGCCAGTTCACACGCATGCAACTGATTTAAGTCTTGTATTTATTTGTGAAAAGTTTAAGAAATTCATGTATAATTGGGTTCTTATTGTGCAAACGCTGTCCAGAAAATAACTTGTTTGCTGTGCAGGTTTTTCTTACGCATTGTTTAGTTTGTATATGTCTGTAAATTACACCAAGTCTATCACTTTATTTGAATAAACTGTTGTTTCATTAATGTTAATAACCTCTTAACATGTACATATTGATTTAACCGTCATAAGTGTTTTGTCTCAAATTTCATTGGAATATGAATCAAATTCTGTCCCAACTGTCCATGGGAATAACTTGCCTGTCGTATTCTATTTGACCAGGTTTTCCTTCACTTCCGCAGCGTCATAAGTATGAATTAGATAAAAGTTCATCACTGTTTTCTAATAAACTAATCTTTCATTCTCAACAAAGGAATTTTATTGAAAACCCCATTTTGTATTAAATGTGCGCACTCATGTATTTCACCAATAGGCACGTACCACCCCCTTCTTAGTGAATGGTATGTCCCACTGACTTCCCTCTCATGGTCTGTGTTTGCTGTGCGTGCTGATAAGCATCTTGGTCCAATGAGTTGTGTGCTGCTTATAAGAATGAATGTACTGTTTTATCCGCTCCCAGCAGAACAAAAGAGGGCATGCTTTTTTTTATACTCACCGCAGAAGTGTACATTTATAATGGAGATCAATGGTGCGTTTGACGCGGAGCACGCTGAATACGCGTAACGAATTTACTCCTTAATGTATGGTCTTTGCGTACGCACAGAACGCGTGCAGGAACCCCCTTAGAAAACTTACTACCATCTGTCTTTCTTTTTGGCGCTTGGGGGCGCACTTCAACTCGGGGCAGATACTGGTTTCTTAACTTGACAATTTGTGCACACTAGAGTTGATATGCACACATATCTGGAGAGAAACTGTCCATGTATGTGAGTGAAAATGTAGCTTAAATCTTACATGATAAAATCTTCTCTTCTGCTTTTTGTAGAAGGTTGGCAGATGTTGGTCTCCATCGAGCCAAGTTTCCAATCCAGCTGCTGGAAAAAGAATGGCAAATACTTGAGAACTGTACTTAGTTTTATTGTACTAGCCTTTTTATGTTCACACTGAATTTATATTTCAACCACATGGCAAAGATTTGTGTTAATAACAACCCCCCCCCCAAAAAAAGGCAAAAACAAAATCACTTGCAAAGAGTTGCATCCAAAGGTTGCTTATGTAACCTAATAACTCCATCCCTAACGCTCATGTCACATGTCACTGTCCCAATGCCATCAGCACACAATGAGCCTTAACTTTAGGGGATGGTTAATTTTGCCCTAAACCCAATCCCTGCAGGGAAAGAATAAGTGGCGTTCGTATATGGAATTCTTTCCATAAGCCTAACGAAATAAGAAAAAAAAATTGCGAAACTTGACAGAAAATTAATTTTAACTCCCAATATCGAAAGTTATTTTCCAGCAGTCTCTGTTATCTTAAGCCTGAATGCCCATGTGCACCTTGTCAGCCCAAGCAGGGCAACCAATCATGCCGATAGCTTTTTATGCTTGTGAATGGTGTTAACTATTATTTTTCCATGATAGAAAATAATGAATAGGCTTAATGAATAGGCCCCTAATAAAAATAAAATTGCATCTAGGCCCTATATTTGAAAACCCCCTGACGAGAAATAAATAAAATTTCACAATGTTTTATTGGCCTTACAGCCATTAAACACCATACAGAGAACTGTCAAATTTTTCTGGGGCGATTGTCATCACAAGTCCATTTTCAAAATGCAGCTTAGTTAGCGGCGCCTACCAATCACTGTTGTTATTTCCATCATTCGGGTCAATGGATGGTGTAGGAACTTGTTCCTGCATTTCTACAACTCCCTCAGAAATAGCGGCGGCAGCCATGAACACTATGAAGTTCTGATGCTTAAAATTTGCTCGATCATCGATGATCTTCACCTGCTCCGAATACAACTCTTTTTCTCGACTGTACTGACCAAATTCAACCGGCTTCTCTTATTTACATACAGAATACGTGATTCAGCAGTTCCGAACTCTGGCTTTTTTTGTACGTTGATGTCATGTAGAAAATTGCATTTAATTAGCTAGCTCGCGGCTGTTTGATGACGTCATAGGACAGTTTTCTAATTCCAGGCTTCATTTCCGTTGCAGCATTCGTCTCTCAAAATCAAAGGACTGTGGTGTTCAAATCGAAGAAAAATACTTCAGTGTTATGCAAAAAATTTTGATAGATATTTGCGTGTAGTTCGATATTTTGGTAGTGCTATCTTGTCGTACTAACAACTTAATTACCTGAAGGTTAAAAATCAGGCACAGGTGCTATTCGGGGAGAACTTGATTTGAAAAAAGTCAAACCAAAGTAGATGAGAGGTAAACATATGGCTGCATCCGAATCTCTTATCCAGAGCTAGGTCTAGGTCTTCACTCCATCGGAAATGCGTGGAGACGCGTAGACAATAGACCTAGCCGTAGCTCTGGAAGCCCGTTTCGGACACGGCCATAGACTCGAAACAAATCCCGTCATTGATCGATTTTCTTGAAGCAAAAAAATTGACCAGACATAATAGTACGCTACCATATTCCTCTTGAAAAAATGAAATATGGCCAATTTTTGCGACTTTTTCCTGTGAACCGTCTAATTCATTGCATACAAAGGCAGAATTAGAACAAAATTTACGGGGGGGTGTTCTTGGGAGTAAGGTTGCTGTGACACACATTTCTGCCTCTCTCCACTCTAGCCTCTTCCAAGGCGACGCAACTACACGACGCGACGCGCGCGACGCGTCGTGTGCTGTCGTCCTTTGCTTTATGGTATTTAGAGGGCGTCCTTACTGTTTTCTCAAGTTTCATTTCCTTGCCCCGTGCTTACGTGTCGTAGGCAGCAGGCCTTGATTCTGATGTCCTTTTTCGCGCATTCTTTCTTACTATGTGTTTTCATTAAGAGTGAGTTGTCGAAGAAAAGGTTTTATGGGGGGGGGGTTTCTTTCTTTCTTTCTTTTTTAAATAAAATGTAGTTAGAAAGAGCTTCGCGACCAATCAACATTGTCATCAGGAAATAAAAACATTAACGTCAGCCACAACAATGTTTTAGCTTTTCCTGCTCTGATTTTGATCTTTCAAATTATTTGTAAATCCATTCTAAAATACAATACATCAATCATTATTACATGCTTGCAAAAATGTAACATGCGAATCTGATGAGAAATTATGTCTATCGCGGTGGCCAAAGTTTAACAGAGTTGAAGAAAAGACACCGCTCCCATGAGAATAGGATCTACAGTATCTTATTCAGAAACACGGACTGGTATCTTTGAGAGTGTGGTGCTGATGAAGACTGAACTGAAGGAAGACTGATTATTCTGAGGGCAATAATTTTATGCACGCTGGGTGGTAACTACCCGAACCCGTGGTCAAACTTGCGGCCGTACAATTGTAGACAAATTGTCTGGAGGAGTAGGAGTTCTACTTGGAAACTGTCGGCGAACTACAGAGATATATTTACAAGGCGACAAATCTACCACAAAATGGAACTTATCAATAAAAAGGACTGGTGAGGCAGGCGCAGATCCGACGGGTTCACACCCTCCCCCCCCCCCGCCGTTCCTTCCTTATGCAATACTGAATTAATACCCACCCAGTTCGTTAATTATGTTACATGAAAATTATGCAAAGGTGTATTAAAAATTCTGGACAAACAGAAAAGTGGCATGTATGCGCATCACTTGCACCAGTTCGGTCCGCGCCGCGCTCGAAACAACACTTTGAAGGTGTTGAAACCAACATTTCAACATGTTAAATCCAGCATTTCAAAAATGAAATCCAACGTTTATTTGAACCTGTTGCAAATATTTTCCTTATCACTGATTAAACTAATGTAAGTGTTGGATTCAGCACTTTAGTTTTTAAACCACACATTGTACGCGATAGTGCATTCGGTGTAATTATTATTATACGCATTTTCAACCCCACCACCTCTAATACGTTGTGATCACTGAACTGAGGGTTTCTGCTTATGCTTGGGTACTGCAACAATCTCCGCAATGGGATATATAGGTTGCAGGCGCGTGGTGGCTCTAGACGCTAACAATAACCCCCCCCCCCAGTTAATGATGTTATTTGAGGGTCCTCAAGATTGGCCTCAAGGCTTTGAACAGTTGCGGCCCAGTGGCGTAGCCACGGGGGGCCTGCCCCCCCCACACACACGCACAATTATTTCCTGGTGCCTCCCAGGTCGCCCCCCCCAAAAAAAACAGATGAATGGAACCTAGTGCCCCCCATAAGATGCTGATTCCCCATTGTGAACCCCCCCCAGTAAAATCCTAGCTACGCTACTGTTTTTGGCCTTCTTTCTGTCTGCAGGCAGGTGATTCCATTCCACCACGATTCGTGACATGAAAGAAAATTTGAAACAGTCTGCTTCTCCTTCTTCTTCCAAGTACCGCAACAACCTCCACTACGGGATATTAAATTTTTCAGTTGCAGGTGCATGGCGGCGAGCTGACTCTAATGCAAGTGGTGGGTGCCTCTTATTAATGCTAAGGTATCAATACTAGAAAGTTTTGTCCTAAAGGTATCAATATTTGTAGCTTCCCTTATTTCAGCCGGCAAATGGTTCCATTCCTCAAGAGTCAGTGGGTATGAAGGAGAATTTGTAACAGTCTTTTTGTGCTGATTGATGGGAACCGGAAACAGAAGATGTTGTTCGTGTTGCAATCCCCTCTCTTTCGGATCTAACCCGATAATAATCCGTGTCCACTGTAACTTTGTGACGGACGGATTTATACAGTAAAGTGAGCCTACTGATGGCTCTATAATACGCTCCTCCAGAAATTTTGAATCATTGAGGAAACACTGTTCTTTGGCGAAAATCTTTGCATACAAATCTTGCCGCCCTCCGCTGGACTGCTTCTGTTTTTGTAATCTGTCTGTGCTGGCAGGTGGACAAAAAGATTGACGAGGATTTCCATGGGTTTGTTTTGTTTGTTTGTTTTTGTTTTGTTTTTTGTTTTTGTTTTGTTTTGTTTTGTTTTGTTTTTTGGTGACCCCTTCCTTTCTTAATGTACTCGATAAGGATCTTTGTTGATAGCTACTTGATCAGTGGATAAATTTATTTTGCAGGGTGAGTCTAGAAATGGCTCTACGCTTCTGCAATGGTTTCCAGCCTAAATCATCATCATGGGTGAGAGAGTACTTGTCTGTCGAAAATTTCTAAGCACAAATCTAGCCACTCTCCGCTGAACTGCTTGCATCTTGTTCTTGTGATCTCGACGCGTAGGCATGGGTCCTATACTGGCGCAGTGTTCCGACTTCGGTCTAACCAGGGTTTATAGGTAGTCTCCGTCTTTCACTTCAGCAAAGCGGCTGTAGAGATTTCGACGAAGTAGTCCGAGCATCTTGTTTGCCTTCAAAGTTTGAAGTTGTGGTCAGCCCAGCTGAAGTTGTGATTTATTAATTTCTACTCCACGATAAATGTGACTGTTGACGGCCTGAAAAGGTTTAATTACCATTCATCATGTGCAATGTAGGTTGACTTGATCGGCGTTTTCTTGTGGGTGATGAGCTATATGAATAGAATTGAGTGACTCATCTGCCAACGTGGTCACTTTTCCAAAATAAAGAGTGTTGTGTCGGCCAGGTATGTTTTCCCTTTATAATTATCGAAGTATACAAAAATGAGGTATACATTTCCAAGTTTGTTTTCACGAGATGTGTTTTTTCCAAAGCTGGTAAAAAAAAATTTTTTTTCAATAGCTGACGCGAATTCAAAAACTGAAAAGCTACAACCAGAAAAATTGTCCACTTTTGGTGACACTATGCTCGTGCAGAAAAGGTCAAGGGTGCATTCCACCAAATCGTTAGAGCTCATATATATCTTGTGATCCCAACGGGGTTTTCACAATAAGACATGCCATAATCAGGAGGGATAATAGAAACATTTCTATAAATTCCGAATTTGGGACTGATAATTTTGTGGTTCAGGGTATTTCTTTCACAAAAAGACCCAAATTGCGGGCCTATTTTGGATAGAGGTGTTCGGCTACATTCAGAACTGAGCGCATGGTTTTTTCTACTATTTTGGAGGTATCTTCGGGGAAAGGCGAATAAAAAAATTTTCGTGGCCAATCCCCATGAAACGGAAAGTGATCCTCTGGCCATAATCTTGAATTTCCTTCGAAAAATGGCGGCCCAACTCTTCCAGGGAGTTGACAGGCGGCGCTATTTCGGTCTGATAGAGATCAATGGATTTTGTACTGTTTTCTATGGGCGCGATCGGTGTAGTGCGCGTGCACAGACATAAATATCCCAGTGACCTCAACGGTCAGGGAACAAAGCGCCCTCTTCTGACAATGTTGATCACCCATATCTGACGTCACTGGCTCCACACTGCGAGAATAAATGGCGACCAGACCTTACTTTGTTGCAAAAAATTATAAATTTGACCCTTTATTTTACCCCATTTTGGCGTGTTTTGTATGCATACAAGCCAACCCATTGCTAGGCCAGGAGTCAGAGAGTCATCCCAGCTGGGATTCTGTGCCAATTTGAGGCTTCATCCATCCGAAAGAATGAAATAATGAATCTGGACTCCCATTCGTTGGCCTTGTCTCAAGTCACGAACCTTGTGAGCAATTTGACGAAGAAAAACTACAAGCAGAGTGTCTCGGAACTTTCCCGTGTAAGTTGGCGATGTGACCTGCTCTTTGTAATACTAACGTCACTGTTTGTCCGTGATGAAAGGCCACCTTTACGCTGGAAACTTCTGTTGTGGTGGTGGGTTTGTATCACGAGTGCGCCACATCATCAGATCATGCAGACATGAAATGACACAGCCATTCAGCCATTCTTCAATTTCTGATCATCAGATCACTTCAGAGCTGAAATAGGGCCTACAAATTTTAGTTTGTTCAGATAAGAATCATATGCTGTGGATAAAAGATCATTTATGGTAGTTTGGTCCAGGGCCCGTGGATTTTTTTATCAATTTATTTAATTTTTTTATCAAAAAATTAAACATAGGCCTACCATACCTTCAGATGGTTGTGTCATAATTTGTCATAATTTGCCAACAGGCATGCAATGTTTCCTCGGATCACTTGATTTCCTTGTCATTGAAAACTGAAAAATACTACAAAGTCTTGTTAAGATTGGAATTTCGTAAATTTTTGTCAAAGACCAAATTGCATGCCTGGTTTTGTTTCAAATGTCTTGAGGAAAAGCACAGTTTCATATCTGCACTAACACTGAACAAAGGCAAAATTAATCCTGTGTTTTTCCTGGCAGAGATTTAGTCCCCTCTATATCCTTGAAAGGAAATGCAAGAAATGATAATGTACATGTATGTAATACATGTACATGTAAATTTTCACTGTTAATATGTTATTAATATTTGAGAAATATGTAGGCCTACTCGACCCTTGATGCCAAATGGCATTCCCCTTCAGGAACCATTCGAAATCATTTTAACAAATTTCTTCAAAAGATTAATTTGAAATGTATTTTCACAAATTTATAAGAACGTGTCTGCCTACATTGGCATCCATGTATGTTTAGTTGTGATGTATACGTGCAGTGTAAAGTCAAAATCAATGGTTGTCAAGTGTGTGTGTCAGTGTTGAATCAATGAAATAAACAGATTTCCCCTAAAGGTTTGGTGTAAGATTGCCACAAAATTTACAGAGTTTACAGAGCAAACAAAACAAGCAAATACCATGTTTGCCAATTCTATGCATACTTAGATCATGCTTTTAAGTTTCAGAAGAAATTCTAAGGAGAGTCAGAAGGTAATCTGACTTGGATTTAACTGTCCAAGAAAACCAAGAAGAGTCCAAGGCAAACATCAGTGTAGCAGTGCACACAAAGTTCCCCAGAGGCATTTGCCTCTGGGGAACTTTGTGACCACTTTACCCACAATCACTTCACCGACAAGCACTTCGCCTATTTCATGTATTTTTCCACTTTGCCCATTTGCCACTTTTTTCCATTTGCCACTTTGCCCATGCATATGTATGTGTTAATTGCACTTAGTGGAATTCAAGCACTTTTGTCTTTATATTTTTAAACCCTAACCCTCCAGTCTTCTTTGACTAGAAACCCTGCCAGACACATCAAATTGCACATTTATTGAAGTGGCTGGCCTGCTAAATGTAACAAGATTCAACAGGTCAATCCTCCCCAAGGCCAAACAGCCTGGGAGTCTGTGGTTGCCAGTCACCACAACATGCAACAGTGACATTGTTCAATGGGACCAGGTCCAATTGTCTCAACATGGCTAGTTAGTTCAGCTGCTGTGGATTACCAGGTGCATTAAAGTGCACCACAGTTTTTCACCTGATGTGCTGTGGAGCGTCTGGCAGGGTTAGGGTTAAGATGTATGAAATGACCAACACTCGTAATCCTTTTCCAATTTAACATCACTCACAAAGTTAAGAAGCACCTGTCCATGTACTTACAAGACAGATGAATACCTCCTTAGAGTAAACAGTAGCACCACACATGTAATGTATTAGAGTTCAAAACAAGATGGGGAGTTTTTCAGCAATGAAGAATTTGTAAATGCTGTAAAAAATGAAGGTTACTGAGATGGACATGTATGATTAGGGTTTAGCTGGTACTCTGCATGGAGGTGACGTAATGCATGGGCAAGGTCGCACATAGGCTAAATGACAACCTGGGCGAACTGACCGATATTGAGATGCACAGGTTAACTACCTTTTATTTTGGTGATAAACTGGCAAGATCCCAGAGAATTGTTTATTTACTGTCATGTCAGGTTGTTTACATGAACTCTTTAACTCTTAGTAATTTTTGTTAGGAACCCTCCTGAGTCTTCCATAATCCGGTGCGCAGCATGAAACCAGTAGCATCTTGTTTGCAGTTTTCTTTATAAGGACGTACATGTATCAGACTATTTTGTAAAGTGCAGTAGGTTAGCTGGGTCGTGCCTACCTTCTTGCAGAATCTTACGAGATATCAGTATGGATATTGAAGGCAGCAGAAGGTTTTCATGGATTTTTTAACCCTAACCCGACTCAATCCTCCAAAATCCTTCGGCCAGTTTGGAGGACTTTGGAGGACTGAGGGTGAATGGCAAAAGTGCATGGCTGATGGCAAAGGAGGAGGATTTTGAAGGATTGAGGCAGTAGGCACGCCTCCAAGTAACATTTTAAAGACGTTTTGGAGCATTTCGGAGGATTGAGGGCGAATCCAATTTTTTCAACCCCCTCAAAATTGAAGGATTTTGGAGGATTGAGGAAGGTCCCCAGCGAAAAGGGCCTAGGGGTAAGAGTTAATAGGGTTAAAACATTGTTTTATATTCAGCAACTCTACGGTAACCCCTCCCCCTTTGTCTCGATGATTTGTTCCCGTGAAATCCAAGCATTGTATTCAACAGTCGGCAGAGGAAGGGGATATCAGGTTCAGTTGTCAGAGGAAAACCTCAGAGCTTACCCAGGAAACATCTGCGATAGGTTAGGGCTGGCAACACAATGTATTAAACATGCCATGAGTGTGCATTAGTTCTTTATGTTACATGTACAAT